TCGTTTTGGAGGTAATGAATCGTTATCCTTGGCCTTCTCCTTTCTAGATCCCTTTTTCATGGAGTTTAGGGTTTGTTTGGAGATAATATGATGAGATTTTGGTGCATGAGTTAGATCTAGAGTTGAAACTCTAGATCTGAGTTCTATTTGGATCAAACATGCAGAAAGCCCTTTTAGTTGCTATGCAAAAGCCATTCCCCATGAGTTAAGTTCCTTTCTAGCATGGTTTTTGGAATTATGGGACATGAAGCACGTAAAGGTAGCAACTTTATGTTGCTAATGCACTCTAGGGACCCAGATCTATTGTTTGGAGCAAAGGAGTAGCTCTGTATCTCTCGAATATGGGAATGCACGTATGAACTCGGCGAGTCTGGGAGATGACTCGGCGAGTTGGGCCAGGGTTTCAGGCATTGAGTCGCGTAGTGACTCGGCGAGTCGCATGGGTGACTTGGCGAGTCATATGATGATGAGCTTGGACTCGACGAGTTGGAAGAACAACTCGGCGAGTCTGATGAAGGTTGTCGTGGACTCGGCGAGTCTGTTCTTGGACTCGGCGAGTCACGACGCAGAACCCCCAACCTCTTCTGGTTAGACTCAGAGCAGTGAGTTGAGTGGTGACTCAGTGAGTTGGTCAGGTTAAGACTCGGAGATTGTGGAACTCGATGAGTCATAAGGTGACTCGGCGAGTTGAGTCGTGTTATGAGAGTTTCCTGAGTTTAGGAACTTGACGAGTCAATGGGTTGACTCGGCGAGTAGGGTCAATCAGGAAGGTGGACTTTGACCAGTTTGACCTTCAAGGGTATTATGGTAATATTTGGATATTTATGTCCTTGGATCTTTGATGATGATAGGTGTTGAAGTTGGAGGCAGTGCTTCGGGTTTGTGCTTTCGTGATTCGGTTCGGCAGTTGCAAGGTGAGTTATCCTCACTATATCAACAGGGTCTAAGGCACCAAGGCCGACCCTTTATCGGATGAGAATCTGGGTATTTGTTTGATATGTATTGATTTGCTATGTCTGCATCCTGGTAATTAGGATGATATTATGTTAGTGACCCGGTCAAGGTCGGTATCCTGGTATATAGGGTAATGTTATGTTAGTGACCGGTTAGGTCGGTATCCTGGTAATTAGGATGATGTTATGCAGTTTGATCTGATAGATCGGTTTGTCTGGGGATTATTATGTGATTGACTGTTTTATGTGCACATGGTGGTTTGACTGAGGTTGGGTTAAGGCGGGTCCTGCTCTGTGCTGTAGGCCAACATACCCAGGGCGGACCGGATAGACCGTAGGCCCAGCGAGCGGTCCAGATAGGCTGAAGGCCCAGGGGAGGCTTGGGGAGTGGACCAGACCGACTGAAGGCCCGGTGCGGGCGGACCAGTCATACTGTAGACTCAGAGAGTGGACCAGGTGGACTGAAGGCCGGTGCGGGCGGACCAGTCACACTGTAGACTCGATATGCATGGCTGTTCTGTATTATGATATGATTTGATATGTGTATGGTTACGTGGTTGGTATTTTGGGGGTAACTCACTAAGCTTTCGGGCTTACAGTTTCAGTGTATTGTTTCAGGTACTTCAGGAGATCGTGGCAAGGCGAAGGCGTGATCGTACCGCTCCTCATTTTTATGTTGATGTTTCTGGGATACTCTGATACTAAACTAATTGAGAACCTTTTTGTAATAATTAATGGATTTGGGTTGTTTTCGAAAAGTTTAAATTGGTTGGAAAATTTTGGTTGTTACATATGAACTCACCAACATTATATATGTTGACCATTTTCAAAATAACTTGTATTCTCAGGAAATCGTTAAGCAAGTTGACTTTCAAGAACTCATGGATTTGATGTATTTTTGCTATCATCGTACACTTATATTTTGAGAATGTAACTTTTGTAAACAATTACAATGATGTAAACCCAATATTGTTGTATTATTGTACGTGTGATGATGATGCTTGCCTTGTTTCAATTATATTCACTGTGTGAAGTCACCCAAACCCCCGGACGTTTCCGCCATTTCTCCGGTTCGGGGGTGTGACAGATTGGTATCAGAGCAATGTTTATAGTGAATTGACATATCTAATCATACAAGATATGCAACTATAAATACATTGAGACTAAAATAATCTGAACAAAATAAATAAAATACATACCTATAACATTTTTCTAAACTTATTATGCTTTGGTACCACATAAACTAATTGAAACATATTTTTCTAAACTTAAATTTGAAATCTCTCACTTCTAATAAATAAAACATAAACTGAAATTTGAAAAAATGTCGTACATATGACATTTTTTCCCAACCTTTAATTATGGACATGCATAGAAATTTATTATTTTGTTCCATTATATTGTACAATATCAATCAATATATTTGCCTTCCAAATTCAAATCCCCTATTATTAAGCAATATCTTGTTAAATTTATTTAAATTCAAATCTTCTTACATTTTTCTATATTAAATCGGAAATTTGGCAGACAATATAATTTCATATCTGTAATATTAAGAAAGATATTAGGAATAAATCAATGGGAGCTGATTTTTCCATAGCCATTTTTTATCAATCCATTGAAATATTAATGTATTGACAATATTGCCCTTTATTTTAATTTCATATACATTTACACTGAGAGAAAGATCTCATAAATATGTTTCCAAAATTCATGCTCTTTTAGCAAATTATGGTAGTTTTAAAATTATTTACATAAAGATAATACAAAAAGTTGTTATACGCCATATGTTTATAAAAAAATGATTAACCCGATCTGTACTATTACATGTTTGATCGCCGGAAACACAGACTATTAGAATCGTATCAGATGTCATCAACTACTGGTGTGACGGAGGAGATGGAACGATTCATTGGGAGGCAGGAGTAGCTTACCCGTCATGCAACGGTTTGTCGCCCATGGTTAACATATCGTTCTGGTTTCTCTTGAAGTTTTATGTTTATCATGACTGGTTCAATAGTTCAGATCACCAGATATAGTCTTTACTAAGTTAAAAAGCATTGATTTTTGAAATTGCAGGTAGCTTGCTTTATATTTTTTCAATTATCGGTTGTTATATCGTCCTACTCTAGGATGTTTCTTATATTTGCTGGATAAAATGATGATTTTCGTACCAATTTGAGAAGCAATGAAACTGATTTAAAATTTTTGAATTGCAGGTAGATTTCTTTATATTTTTTTTGATTTTCTGGAACATATCGATTATAATTTAGTTGCATTATATATTTATAAACTTCATAGTTCATATGTTGCAGTCTTGCAGCAAGAAAATAGAATGAGAAAATATGTCGATTGATAGATAACCACAGACGACAACCACTTCTACAACCAGTGAACTCCCTTTCTTCCATTGGCAAAAGATCCACCTTCTGTGCAGTGCCGGAGAGCCATTGATGTACCATCGACAATCCTGCACACCATTGGTGACCTCCCCATCTCCCATGATTCCATGAACAACCTCTTCCTCCGTCGGAAAAACATCCAACGATAGGATATAAAATTTTCGGTGGATTTCATTTCTGCATATGCTTTTCAAAATGTTGATGGTCTTGTTCTCCGGTGCGCAAACCAGAGAAGATGGGTTTATTAATTTGCTCTTTATTTATTTCTTATAAAAAGAAATATGGTCCAATCCACGTGCCATATGCAGAAAGAAATCCCTGATTTTTTCTCCTATAATAACTATAAATTTAAATAAAATGACATAATAGTCATTACATAGATATTTAAGTGGATGAATCAAAATCTCTCTGTGGAAAAATCATCACCCTAAATCAATGTCCTTGATTTTTATTATTCAAAACCAAATTTCAATCATCAATTTATGGAGCAATTATTTCGAATTCAAATATTATTATTCGGGTTTTTATATTTTAACATATTCTATGTAAATAACTTATAGATATAGTTTGTATAACATAAAGAATAGTTTTCATTTTGGCATCGGATTGAACATTATTTAAAATTTCTATACATTTAAAATATTATTTATACATAAACATTATAAGCTTACCGATATACATACTCAATAAATATTTGTTTGCAATTTATCATTAAATAAATTGTTTTTCTTATTATTTAAAATTTATTATTGTCAAGTGTGTAGTACACTTGTTATAGCCTAGCAAAACAATATAAGCAACCCCAAACATATAAACACCCCAAACACCTCTAGAAGAGCACGACCTCCTTTTTCAACATTGATCCAGTCAAACAATAGCATTACATCCATTTTTTAACTACGAACTAACTTTTTATTACTGTTTCATTCTAAAACTAAATTAGTAGTGATTCTAAAGTTGACTTCTTCCCTATACTACATACTACTAGTGAGAGGGGAAATGTAAATACTACCATTTAAGGAGACTTGATATATCCATGTCAATTGAGATAAAATTTATAGCAAAGGGATTGGGTCGCAGGTGTTTGCCTAGGTCTGACATGTTCGATTTTAAAATTGTTATTAAGAAAAGTTATAACGTTTAAAAATCAATTGTCACATATAATAGATCCATTCCAAAAAATTTCATAAACGCTCAAACGTTAGAATCTAGTGCTATTATATCATTGTGTTAATCCAAATCATTCACATCATATATGTTACCTTTTACATAACTGATACCTCCATTTAGAAGCATTGGGGCATTATTGTATCGTTTTACCCCGGTCTTGAAAAACCTTTGGATCGGTCTTGCAGAAGCTTGCTACCAATAACTATTTGTCTTGGAAGCAACAAATGTTCTAGCTAGTAAATCGAAATGAAAAAGCTATAAATAAATCACATAGTAATTAATATACAAATAACAATTTCATCACGAATATAAACAAACATTATTGTTTTGATAGATTGTTGAAAGTTTATTTGGAAAAAATAATAAGGACAACAAATTATCTTCTTAACTGAATCACATCTTTCTCTATTTCGATTTCTCATTCTTACTCTCCACACGACCATCTGTTCCAGCCATCATCGCATACTTATCCTTCCTAGTCAAATTCGTGCATTCGAACCCAAAGTGTATCGCCTATCACCCTTTGAATATAATTCGCCACCTCAAATGCAGACTTCCCACCTTTGCATGTTAGCTCGAGTGGTAGTTGGTTCAAGAAAGTTATCTCATACGTAGGCCTAGGGTTCATGAACACAAAATATGGATCCAAGAACTTATACCCACGAGCTGTTGTCCCATAAAACACACTTTGTTTTGTATTAATGGCAACTGGGACAATCCTATCTGTGAGCTCTGCAAAAAGCGCACTAAATCTAAGCAAGAATGGCTCTCTACCCGTTGTTCCCTCGGGGCAGATGACCAAATCACCTTCTTCCAATAATTGTTTGATATGTGCAGCATCTTTATCTCTTTCTCTTGCTAATGCTACTGCCTTAATCGGTGATATTAACTCAGAGAATTTACTAATACTATAAGTCACACAACTAATCTTTCTACCTAAGGCGACTGCAGTGACCACAGGGGTCTATAACAGCACGATGGTTGCATACAAAGAGCACCCCACTTTGTCCTTGTTTTGGAGGGGGTGGAGGGGTTCCCTTAACGATTAGTTTGATGCCAAGGATCTTGTAGTTGTAATACACGATCTTTTCGGGCAATGGGATATTGAGATAAACCCGAAGGATTGAAAGGAAAATGCCTATTGGCATCCATAAGAAGGTAAGTAGAGCTACAAGTGGTGTTGGCCTTTGAACTAGACGTCCTTCATGAAAGATGATCGGACTTAGAAGTTTGTCCCTTGGTAAGGGTTCACATCTTGTATGTTGTACCATGTATCCTTCCTGCAAGAAACCAAGTATGTAATGTAACCTCACATAAAATCGTAAAGCACAATCCTCCTGTTTCAAAAATGGTTTTGAATCTAATGTAATTAAAGTAATAAAATGGTAATACATGTTTAATTATTAAAAAATTTAAAAGAATATTATTTATTGAAGAATTTTATATTGATTTGACATAAAAGTAATTTAGACTTCGTTAACCATTAAATGCTATTGAAATTTCAAACAGCTTAAACAAAAAAAAAAAAAATCATGTTTTCAATTTTTCATTATCGACTTTCTCATAGAAGGAACAAAATATAGCTACTGAAGCACTCTGTCATAATAATTAAATCATGTTATTAAATTATTGTAATACTGAAAATAATTTCTGTATAATATTTTTACTTTAGGGTTTTATATTATAAATGATGCTAAATAATCATATATTTTTATGTGAATTGAATAAAGAGCCAAATAATATGAGTAGACATTATATCATTTTTGAAGCCATGCACATCATTGTGTAGCCATAACGAGGTTTTTAAAAGAATGTTTTGATGTATTATTATTAAAAATAGATTTTGTGAAATATCCATATGAATCTTGGATGAAATCATAAGTCATTATAATCTAATCCTTTCAAATTAAATTATATTGTAAAATTATTTATCTATATTTGCTAAAGTATTGAGATGAAATAATAGGACCAAAAAAGATTGAAAGTGTCTTTTGACTCTTGACTTTCCCATGTCCTTTGCAAGATTGCATATTTCCTTTCTAATGCAATTCATGCCATGGGGATCTTCAAACCCATGCAAGAACAAACAAAACAGAAGTTGGGATTCAACGCGTTTGCAAATTCTTGAAAACAAGACAATACGTTATTTTTGCATATCAAATATAAATAAAAAATGATAAAAGTAATTGCTAAGACTTTTTTAGGGCTAATCTAAATAACTAAAAGAGTTGCTCAAAAAGTATGGCACAAGAAAGGTCATTTCTCAAAATAAACAACGTTTAAATATTTATCATGTAATAGCTATTTATTTTACGAATTGCTTATAAAGGGTCACAACAAGAAACCACAAATCTTTTCTTTTTCTTTCACAAAAATAGCATTATTTTTTCGTGATATGAAGTAACTTTTACGATTTTTTGTTGTACGAACCCCTTACAAAAGCAATTTAATATATATATATATATATATATATATATATATATTATATATATATATATTACAACAACAACTCTATTTTTAGTGTTTTTATGATTAACCCTTTTTATGTGTATATATATATATATATATATATATATATATATATATATATATATATATATATATATATATATCCATGAAACTATGTGAAGTGATTATTATAAATTCTACATATACAAAATGACTGATGATTAGATTTGTGATATTATTAGAATGTAATGTGAGTTTTATTTATCATGGTTAGGGGTGTTCGTTTGGATGGATCGGTTTGATCCGATCCGATCAAATAAATTCAAATTGATTTTGGTTTTTAAAACATGGATATGAATAATTTAAACTAAATTAAAATCCGATTCGATCCAACCAAATTACAATTTAGTTGGATTGGTTTTACAACTTGAATATTAGCCAACTGTATATAAAAAACTAAAAAATTATTTAGTTATGAAATATAACTTATAAACAACTTCTTAGAAAAATAAATTATAGTTTAATATTTATTTTAAAAAAACTTTTGATAATAAATACATATTAATGTATTATATTGGATGAAACTTTCGAATAACTAAAAAATGATTTATTAAATTTATAAATGATTAATTATATATTAAAAATAAATAATAAGTTGTTATTCGGTTTTTTTGGATCATTCGATTTTAATTTTATAAACCAAAATTAATCCGAAATTCAAAATAATAATTCAATTTTGCTAAAAATCAATCCAAAAATCATAATATCCTATTCAAATTGTCGACTCAAATTGTCAAAATAGACAATTTGGTTTTATAATCATGACACAAGATAAATATTTCACATCTCTGAGTTTTGTGCAAAACCTATTTTCTTTTTGAGTAAATTACATAAATCGTCCCTGGTGCAAGTGTCAAAATGCATGTTCAGTCCCTATTTTCAAAAATTAACTCGGACCGTCCCTCGTTTGGTTAAAAGTTGCACGCTTCATCCCTTGTTAGTCTAAATTTGCACGCATCATCCCTTACGAGACATAAAATGACTATTATACCCTTTTTGTATTTCTTTTCTAACTAATTTAAAGTTATTATTGTTATTATTAATTCAAAATTAAAAGAAAAAAATAAGAGCCATGTTCATAACCCAGCATCCCCACCCACCCACCTAATTGTTCCTTTTCACCAATCTTCCTCTCTTTTCTCTTAACTGTTGAAGAACCAACCAACACCACTTACAGACAACCACCACCGGAGCACACCCCTTCAAGTTAAAATCTGGCCACCGGACAAGGCCACTCCTGGAAACTCTTCCCCCTCTCTTCACGTGCAGAAATCCAAGCCCCGACCCCACCAACCCTAAAGAAACCACCAAAATCTTCGACGATCCCCTATCTTCTTGTTATCATCGTTCTTTGAGGTTTGAGTGAGGAAGATGGCCGATCGAAAACCGAATCGACGAAGATGACGACGTGTAACCGGATTTCTCTCCCTCCCCCTGTCTCTTACTCTTAGATCTACCGTGCTATCAGATCAATATGACCAATACCTCAGATTTAGGGTGTCGAGTGGAGATAGAGGCGGTCAAACTTTTCTCTGCAAACTATTTCCTCCCAAAGGTTTTCTTGATTTGCTTTGATTTGTGTTTATTGATCTAGGGTTTTTCTATTTGGGTTTTAATGGAAAAAAGGTTGGTATGAAATGGTGGGTGATGGTTAGGATGGCGATGGAAATTTTGTCCCTGATGGAGGTGTTGGAGTAACCGGAAACAATGGAGATGTTAGGGTGGCCGAAAATAATGGGTGTGTTCACCTGATGGTTTTTTTTAGAGAAAAAGGTAATTTTAGAAAGAGGGAAAGTTGGGAAAATGTAAAGATAAGCAAGGTAGCTCCCATCTACATGCCTGGTGGTGGCCGACTGAGGTTAAAGAGGATGTCTGTGGTGTGTCTGAAAATCGAGCTACTATGGTGATAGAAAAAAAAAGATGAAGCTGGGAAAGGGAAGTAGGTAACAGAGGGACGAAGGGTTGGAGCATGGATATTTATCGTTTTTTTTTTCTTTTCTTTTTAATTTAAAAATAAAAAATAAATAAAAGTAAATTAAAAAGTAAATAAATAAGGGCAAAATGGTCTTTTTATGTCCGGAAGGATGAAACGTGCAAATATTAAAATAACGAGGGACGGTCCGAGTTAATTTTTGAAAATAGGGACTGAACGTGCATTTTAGCACCTGCATGAGGGACGATTCGTGTAATTTACTCTTTTTTTTTGAACCCGCAATTTTATTAATAAAAAAAATTCTTCCCACTAGCAAGCAGCTAGCTAGTAGGTTAAGTACAATAACTGTCAAGAAATTAATGATCACCAACTTAAAGTGGTCCTTTGGACTATAACTTAAAACACATGATGATTCCAATTAGGAAAAAATAAAAAGATTTTCTTTATACACACCAACCTATCTCACATACCAATCTAACCTAGTTTACTCTACCACACAAGTCTAATTTAGATTATAGGGTTTTTTTTAATTACAACATCATTACACAATAATCTAGACTATCGACTAAATTTGATTGGGAGTGCTTGAAACCTCTGGGCTTATTATTATTATTATTTTTCAATTCGAATTCTTTATTTTGTTTTTGTGTGGGTTCATAATTTACACATTTTTTTAATATCATAAAACCGATGCATCTGCCGTCTTTTTAATACCCACCTTTTTAACCCACTATTTTTATTTGTAACGTGTAACCTTTATAATTATATTTTATATAAATATTAAATATGTTATACTTTATAATATATTTTAACTCTAATACAGTTTATAATTAAAGTCTTGAATTATAACGTAACAAAAAATCGTAAATTTTAAACCAGTCAGTTTTTATTCTTTCGACTAATATACCATTATATGCAGTAAATAAAATGTAATATTTGTACGAATTTTATCGTAATATTTAAAAAAAAAGAGATTGAAGATAACTAAATTTATAGTTTTGACTTTTGACTAAATTTTACTTGGAGTTGCCACCTCCGGCGACTAACCACTGCTGTGACCAACTCCGACAAATTATCTCCGGCCACCATGTCGAAAACAACAGAAGAGAGAGAGAGAGAGAGAGAGAGAGAGAGAGAGAGAGAAAGAGAGAGAGACGATGGTTATTAAGCGGCAAACGATGGTTCTTGGGTGGTAGAAGATGGTTCTTGGCCGACCGACAATGGTGGTACTCGCAGGTGGTTATCGCCAGTGTTTTTATTATAAGGTAACGACAGAATGTTTGACGGTGGCTGTTAAGATATTGGTTTTATTTTTCGTTTATAAATGGGTAATGACCTAACAAAATATGGGCTTTAGAGCTAACAAAATGTGGGCTTTTTATTTAAATAAAATTAGTCTTTTTTTTTTTAAATTTTTTTATTTATTAAATTTATTTAAATTAGTTTTTTAGTTTGGTATTAAAAAAATTATTTTCTATATTTGTAATTTTAAAACGTTATACAAAAATAATTTTAATAATTTACATACAAAAAATATAAAAAAATATATAAAAACGTTTTGTTTAACATATTTTATGTTATAGGTTTGAAAAAATAAAAAAATATACTTTTATTAGTAAAATAATTAATTTTTTTTTGGTTATAATGAAGTTAGTAAAATAATAATGTAATAATTAAATAAAAAGTTAATGTAATAATTATGTTATAATATAGTAATGATAAAAATAAATCAAATGATTAGGCTAGATAATAAAAAAGATAGACTATTAGGTTGGCAAAAAAGTAAACCTAATGATATAGGCTGGTATTGTAGATTGGTGTGTCTAAAGTAGGACCCGAAAGTAATTTTCCAACAATTATATGTGAAACTTTTAACAAATCAAAGATGATCACATATACATGTAATATATGAATTTTAATTTTTTTTAAAAAGAAATAAAATAGTTATGAAAATTTAATAATAAGAGAAAAGGGATCATGCTAAAGCAATATGGCCATTAAAGTTTCACCAAACCATATCAACATATAATGTCGTTGAAGAAAGCTTTCAATTTGTGTACCCACATGTAGCTAATATACAGCTATATATATATATATATATATAGATATATATATATATATATATATATATATATATATATATATATATATATATATATATATCAAGATCAAAAACAAACTTAAAAATGTTAAAGAACATATAACTTTTTTTATATATACAAAAACCATAAACCTTAAAACAAACCAGATGTCTACAAATACATGTTTTTAAGAAACAAGGTAAAAATTAAAAAACACCATGTGTTTTTTTTATGTACATATGTGCATATATTTCATTTGTACATATTAAAGAAAGTGATGAAAATATGGGCATACGTGCTTTTTTTTTGAAAAAAACAAAGCTTCCTTTTTATGTGAATCCCGTAAACGCTATGTTTATAGACATATGTTGGTGGTTTTCTTTTTCTGAAAAATGTCATCGAGAAAAAAATTCTCCAATTTTATACGTTTTTAAGTTATTTACTGTTGATTGGTTTAACTGGAATCAGGTTGACCCCTAACATTGTTTTATTCAATTCTTTATTTTTTTAATTAAAGATAAATAATATATTATATATAATTGTAAAACATAATGTTAAGATAGATTTTTTTTTTCAATTTTAGTGAAATGATTTAGATACTCACAGAATTTTGAATATATCCGGATGACTTTCAATGCACTTAGTTTTTGTTATTTATTGATACATTTCTAAAATTTATCATTTAACCCGTGGAAGGTAAGTTGTGTTTATTATTTGAGTCCAATTTGCATTCCCTTACATACATATGGGTATGTGAGTACATACATATATGCATATCCATTCAACTATTTTTAACTCTATATGCATATTTGTGTTTGCCTACTTTTTATGCACATATGTGATATGACCTTCTTTGGGTCAGGTACTAGAAATGTATATATATGATATTTAAACCTACACAATACATATTATTATCATACTAAAATTATTGGATTGATTGCTAATAATTATGTAGTGTTATTTTTATTTGTTTATATGTAATTGTCATGTGACTAATTGTACATCGTTTATTTTATGAAGAAAACAATTGATTTGTTTTAAGTTCTATATACTTATATCTACATAGCAAATGATATGTAGAATTAAAATAATGTGATTTTGAACAAACTTTGTTATCATTATATTTTTAATAGAGTTTGATATTTGTTTGTTTAAGGTTGTTTTACGATTTGTTTTCAAGTTATAATTAAAATTGATTTTTAGACTAATATTTAATCATGCTTAATTTATGACTAAAATACACTAAATTTTTTATTTTAATTTGAATAGTTGAATCATAGTTTTATAATCCATGATAGTTATATAATTTTGTAAAAGAAAATAATGTGTCTTAGTAATGATCAATTGATAATTAAATATTTAAAAAAAACTGTTTCAAACTCAATTTTTATAGACTAGTATGTCGTTCAAAAAATAAAAATTATAAAATTATCACCGATAAAAATAAAATATTATTGTATAATTGATAAAAGAAATAAAACAATCATTTCATAATAAGTAAACTAACTAGTACCGTATGATAACTTTACTTGTTTTTTATTAGAGCATTACATATTTTGATTGTAAAATCATATATTTTGTTTGTATAATAATTAGATAATTTATTTAAACAAATATATATTCTATAAATTAAAACTTAATTATCTAAAAAAACATTTATATTCTGTTTGACATGTTAACTAAAAAACTAACTTTTTTTTTCGGAACGAGAAGTTAATATAGACTAAGATTCAACCCAAATCTTCTTGTTAAGAATACCTCATTAGTTATTTCAAATAATTTATCAAAACTTTAACTTATAAACTACGATATGTTGTTTTTGTGGTCTCATCTTGTTTGCATTAACTGAAAATTTTATTTTTTAACTTATAAGTTAACGTAGAAGGTAGAATAAACTATTTTTTGTGATTTTATCTAACACTAAATTAAAAAAATATATATATATTTTGTAAAACACGACTTAAATTATAATAAAAAAATAGTTTATACAGATAACTTATTTTAGTGAAATGCCTTTTTCTTGCTTTTGCTTATATACTTTGGTTATTCTTAAAAATAAATAAATAATAATAGTAATAGTTGGATGATGCACATGAAAATACATTAAATACCAAAACTTTAGAAAGCAATATTTAAATTCGACGAAGGGTTTTACAACAATGTGAATATGAGATGTCCTCGTTACCCACACCACGTGTCATTTATTGAACGGCTGTTTCTAAAATAGGTGTTTCGAAATGATCCTTATATTTCTTTAAAAGATACACAATTCGTCCTTCGACATAAAGAAAGCCTATCCAAGTCCTTCAGAAGAACAATCGTTTCATGTGTTTGACCCTTTTTATTTTTTTATCTGATTTTCATTTAAATATATTTTCGATTTTCTTCCATTGTCTCAATTATTTTTTTGTGTTGATTTTGATTCTTTTAATTACATTTTTTTTACGTATAGAAAAACAATGAAGATGAAAGGTGAGTAACAGTTGTTTTTATTAGGCCTTAAACATCGGTGTTAATGCTGCATGATGAGTGTTCGATATTGGTTGTGGGTATGGTTATAGGGACAGATATGGCAGTAGACGTAGATAATTTATTAGAGTACTACAAAAATTAACATTCAAAGAATAATTGGTTGGTGACAAAACAAAAAAATAATAAAAAATACAGATATTATTTCTTTATTTTTTCAACTTAAGGGGTGTAAAAGTATATATTCAGTACAATAATTTACCTAAAGTGAATATACTGTTTTTTTATAAAAGTTTTTTATTTCTAAAGTGCATGCTTCAAAATGCATATCTCCTAAAACTAAAATGGAACATAAGTAAAATACTATTTTTATGTAACTTTTTTAAATAACAAAATTTCATGTATATTTTTGCAATTTTTGTTTTTGTCAATTAATGTAACAATATGGTTATTAACACATGTTTTTTTAACCATTGTCTCGTATTGTTATCAAACTGATAAAAATATTTGAAAAAAACTGTAGCTTAAGTAGATAAAAATATAAGTGTTATAGGATAATAATATAAGCTTGTTATTAAGTAAAATTAAAATGATTAGAATAAAAAATATTACCTTGCAAATGGACATGAAATCTTTGTCAGTTTCACCACTTCCAAGACCCAAATCAGGCAAATTCGAACCTTCAAATTCTTGTAAAATGGCAGCTTTTTTAAATCCACCAATAACAACTCCTGGTTCTTTAACAAACCCAGTGGCTCGACCACTTTTCGAGACCTCAAGTTCAGTCCCCAACACCTCATCAGCCCCTAAAAAATTCTTCACAAAATGCTCCACCATCACTCTCGGGCTCGATGTAACCACGTACCTCTTCCCAAACGAGTTAAACACCTTCCATGTTTCAGGTCGAACATCACCAACGTAAAACCGGGGTAAAACGGAGCTACATACAAGCTCAACATCTCGGATTCTTAACCCAACAAATGTGATGAAGATAAAGATTTGATCAGATGCAGATTTGGAGAAGATGGAAATGGTGTAGATAAATGGGAAGGAGAGTAATAGGATTAAAGCTCTGAAGATGTTTCCAGCTTCGAGGGAGATAAGGAAGTAGTACGGGAAAGGGTTAGGGGACACAAGGAGGGTACCGTTGAGAGCGGATGCCACAGTCTGATTTGATCTCGATTTCGTACTGCATTTTGAGATCAGTTTGAAATCGAGATGAGCAGACATTGTGAGAATAGGGGAAGAAAGATGTTTGGATCGAGTTATGAAGATGAAATGTATGGGGGTTTAAAAAGAAGTTGGGAGATGGATATACATTTAGTACCAATATATATATATATATATATATATATATATATATATTTTAAATCATGCAAAAGTAATACTTGCATGTGAGAAGGAAAAATGTATTAATTTGGATTTCTTATATAATTTAATAAATTTAAATTCGTATGACCTGTCTTTTTTGGGTGTTGTATCTTTTATTACATGGTTTGCTACCATATGATTGTTTGAATAGTGAGGACTTAATTATTTATATAGAGTTATTGTGAGAAGATGACTTAATTATTTATATGGAGTTAGTGTGAGAAAAGTCGTTAGCTTTTTGTCTCATTAATGCAAGAGCTTTCAACTTAATTTTTTTTAGACTTTTTTTTATAAACGACATATATGTGTACTAATATCACATATAAAAAACATTAGTTATAAAAAAATATTGCTATAATTAAATACGAAATGTATTAATTATGAAGAATATATGTTTCACATTTTTTAATAAAAATATTTTCTATAATTAATACATTTTATATTTAATTATGGTAAAAATTAATGACGTGCCTATTGGCACATGTTAAAATATAATGAAATTACAACAAAGTAATTCTTTGTGAGATCAAGATTATACAATAAAAGATCTAGATTTGAGATTCGTTTACTACACGTGATGATTAAACAAATATCAAAATGTAAACATTTAACATTTTTTAAAGTAAAATTTGAAAATATACAAACGGAATTGAAAATAATTAAGTGATTCAATCTATATTATTAAAAAACTATTGACATGTTTTAAATAATTGTGTTGAATATCAAGTTGTAAACATTAAACATTTTTTAAAGAAAACATTCGGAATAAATACAAACAAAATAATGAATAAGTATGTAACTAAATCTATACCAATAAAAAAAACTCTGACATATTTTAATTAACTATTATGAATCACAAATTTCTAAAGATTTTTTTGAATACAACATTAGATGTCTTATTGTTAAGTTTACTGTCATTGTCTATAAATTAATATTTTTAATTAATCTCCATAGACAATGTAATATACAATTGTCCATGAGTGAAAACTGATTATCTAAAAAACAATCTCACATTGGATAGTGATTATCCTTGACTCTTGTTTATTGTCATCACAAAACATATCCAATGAAAATTGTCACTTTTGAAATGTGAATGGAATCCTTTTATTTGAAGGCGCCAAAGACACTCTTGGAATAAACGTAAGGTTTCCTCTATTACTTTTGAAAATTATCTATGTTTCTATAACATGCTTAACCAATGCTATAACCCGTAGACTCGTTCCATTTCAAAAACCGCATTTCTAATTAATATTCCTTAGTAATATAACTGGAACATTGAATTTTAATACTAACTTATGAATTGGCTAACCTCGCAGTTTAAGACTATTCAGAACGTCAGAGGATTATAAACTTTCATCAAAATCATCGTGAACAAAATCTTATTAAAAGATTATCTGAACTTAAGTATTATTTTTCAAATCCCAAAAATAACGATAACAAACGATCGTTTACTTCTTGAACGACTTCATTTTCCAATGCAAGAATTGCTATTTCTTGAAAAAGCATCAGAATATTGGTATTTTGAAGAACAGAAGGATATACAAATTCAATAGCCATAAATAAAAAACATACCTCCTTTTTCTATTTAAAAGTTGTCATGATATCAAAAACACTTCATTGTTTAATTATTAATGAATCAAGTAGTTGATGAAACTCGCTCTATAGAATTGTCCTGTAAAAATCTTGCTCCTCGGTATACCAATTAATATTAATAACATAAACACAATATCATGAACCCGAATTACTTATAGAATATAACGAATATTTACTTAGCACAATATATCAAAAAATTATTTAAAAAATGCATAATATTAATTTAGTTATTACAAATATATCTCCATACACATAGATCAACTTATATCATAATTTGTATGATAGTAAATCGACATGTCTAACATTACAACGTTCAAACTAAAACAAATGCAACAATTTGTTTTGGTTTATTCCAAAACTAAAACAATAATTTTTTTAGACTATTTTAATCCAATTGAACATATTTTCTTATCAATAATTAATACGAGTATTTGAACTCTTCATATTTTTTAACAGCTTAATTCGTAACTAAATAGCTACTCGATTGCATATAAAACTTACTTATGAAATAAATTAATAAATAAATAAATATAGAATTTAGTTGACAAGTAACAACAACATAATGTACAGACCTTCAAAGAAAAAAACGGTAGAAAACCTTAAAAAGGTGGCATTTTAATATTTGTTATGTATATGTCCTTAAATTTAGGGCGTACATTGTGGAAGAAACGTTAATTGTAGAAAGTCTTATAAAGTTTATAGTAATAGTATTAAGTACCATTTTTAAAAATTAAAAAAACACAACATAATGACGAGTGAAATATAAGTCAATCAAAATTAGGAAAAAAAATATTATATGTTAAAATGAATGAGAAGAAAACATGTGACAAACAGATCTTTATTATTAGGTTAGATAAAATAAAATAAGGTTATTCGAATCATATAGATATGATACTATAGGAATAACATAAAATTACAATCAATACTAATCTAGACAAATTTTTTTTTTTTTTTTTGGAACGGCGGAAAATTTTATTAATAAACTAGCAAGAAACTAGAAAAAACACATTACAACAAAATAGAAGTTAAAGCAGGATTATGAAGCCAAGCAGTCCAAACAAGCTTAGCTTTGCTACACCTATTGGAAATCCAAAAAAAACGCCCTTTCAACAAATATCATCGAAAATAAGAGATTTCCTAGGTAACACTGTTCCAAAGATGGTGGAATTTCGACAGTCCCAAAGACACCAAAAGGCCTAAATCACCACCGCATCAAAAACCTTACGTTAACCATATCTCAAGTGAACAGAGTCAGGCCAAGAGATGAGATTTGAAATTGAAATATGCTCAGGTAAATGAACATCCCACCAAATAGCAATCATGCTCCAAATATCAATCATACATCCTACAAAAAGATGATTAATAGTCTCAACAGACGTATGGCACACTAGACATATAATCGACTGCACCTTAATCCCACGATACGATAATCTCTCCCTAGTAGGGATATTCTCCAATATGATCCCCTAAGTTAGAATATTGAGCTTAATAGGAACCCAATTATTCCACCTGGTCTCTGCACCACTGACAAGAAGCATGGTATAATCTATAAGAGAACGTGCCACGGAAATAGAAAAGGCATCTGAGGTATAACCAAGCCATCCCAGTCTGTCTGATCTGACCTCCAAAGGATGGTTGTGCACAATCTCCAAAAAATCATCCCACTGGCATTGCTCTATCCCTCACCTAGGAAAACGACAAAGAGTTCTCGGGTCCCAACCTATATCAACACGATCTCTGACAATAGCGAATTTATGATTATCCAAGGCATAAATCCTATGAAAAGAAATAGAAAGGGGATTGTCGAGTAACCAAATGTCATGCCAAAAGCTTGTAAAACACCATCTCCTACCCTAATAGGGCATAGAGAAAGAAGGTTAGTTCCACGATCTTTAAGATTTGCAAGCATGTAAATGATAGCTTATTTTATTTCCTTATTTTTATTAGTTTATTTTTATTAGTTTATTTTATTAGTTTATTTTTAATAGTTTAATATTTGCAATTACACTTGCGCGGGTGGAATTTCCGTCGCGCGGGTAACCGTGCAACTGCCCAATTTTGGGCATTTTGGTCATTTGGCTTGCCATTACCTTGGGGGATTAGATCTAGCAGCCATACTTCGATTTTACACCATTGGGGACCAGAAGAAGGCGATTTTGAAGCTCAATACTCATTTCTTTTCATCTTTCCAAGTTATTGGTAGTTTCTTTATGGAATTAGACTTTTGTGATTGTTGTTCTATTGCCATGAGTGGCTAAACTCTCTATTTTGGTAGACCTTGGCTAAAACCTCTGAATGTTTGTGGATTTTTGAAGGATTTATGATTATTTATCATTTATCTTATGTTTATGATTCTAGTTCATATTTCCTATGCTTGTTTAGTGCTTTGATCATGAGCTTGGTACTTTAATAAGCAATTGTTGGTTTATTTCTTTGGTTTAACATTGAATCATTGAATTTACTTCGAACAATGGCTTTATGATGGTAGAAATCATCTCTAGCTTATGAATCATAACTCCTTTATGAATGTGTAAGCATTGACATCCTCTAGGAATTGAGGATTTCTTCATTCTTAAGGCTAATCAACTTCTTGGATTCAATTGCTTCAATTGGATCTTTGATTTTGATTAAGAAGGTGAGTTGTGGGCTTCCCCAACCTCCATACTACCTATGAGAAATCTTGGCATATCATGCTTCATGATTGCTATAACCAATTTGGGGTGAATGATAAGCTTCATGTTAAATCCTAATGATAAACACACAAATGTTCATTGTGTTGAATTGCCTTGGTTTACCAATTCTCTCCAATATTTTGAGCATCTCTCTTTCTTGCTTAATTGCAAGTTTTTAGTTATTCAAGTATTTTAGTTTTCAAGCAATCATAACACCCCCCTTTTAGTTTAATTGTAGTTAGTTAGTTTATTTACACTAGTTCTATTGGATTACATTGGTGATTGAATACAACCATTTCCCTGAGGATCGATACCCCTTTTTTACCATTATATTACGTTTTATTTGCAAACAAAGGGTGTAATTAGCTTGGTGGACTTGACATCCCACCAGTAAATAAGATTATTCCAAAGCCCCAAAATAGAACCACATGGAGATAAAGAAGAAAGACCATCGTCTGTCCCATAAATGGTTTTCACAACCCTCACCCACAAACGATCAGGATAATGAAAAATCTCCACCGCCACTTAAACATCATAGCTCTGTTAAAAGCAATAAGACTTCCAACTCCAATACCACCAACCCCTGTAGAAGCCATAATTTTATTCCAATTCACCCAATGCATCCTTCTGTCATCA